AAACACCTTTTCCCCCAGTTCAGTTCTGACGTTTGAAACAGACAGCAAGAAAAGGTCCTGGGATTGTCCCTCTACTGTTCTGACTGATGAGGGTCAGAAACTATGAAGGAAGTAGACCTAAGATAAACTTTTAGATAAGTAAATGACAGTGTTTAAGTCTGTGTAGGGTCAAAGAAGTCCACCCAGCATGTGCATACAACAAACAGTGATGAGTGAGGGATTTAAGATTAGTGATGAACCTCAGAGCTCCATGACACAGAGTCCAGAGAATGTAAGCTTTGCAACGAGGCATGTAGAATAAAACATCAGTGTATAGTCCAGCACAGACATAAAAGTGGTAGCAACCGGTCTCTTCTTCTTGTAAGGTTCAAGACCTGAGAGGGCCAGAAAAAGAAAAAAAAAACATCAAACCATTTTTGTGCGCACAAACTTGCTGATGCAAACCTTTGCATGAGATCATATAACACTGAAATCTCATCCCTGAGACAAACCATAAAGCACATGTCAGTCAGTATGTTTGTGTCAAAGACGAAAACCAACAAACATTTTCTCCATAATTTCATTTGTATTTTAGTCTGTTATGTAAACACAATTTAGTTTCAGGTAATTTTGTTAAGCCCTCCATTCTTTTTTTACACTTCAGCTTTCCTTATTTCCTTAGTTTTCATTAACTATAATTGCCTTCCCTGAAGTTACCTTGATATCTGAAAATCCTGCTTAGTAGTCCCTAAGGTTTACATGACAGCAATTTAGCTATGAACTATTTGCAAGTCCTTCAGGAAACTCTGCAGACATACAGACGCAAAAAGGTAAACACTTTTGTTTTATGTGTTACACTACACCTTAAAGCGGCCCTATGGGGCAAACAACTTCCCACAAATTGACCCAGTAAATTATTAAACAAGGATCAAATAAGAGCTAAACAAAATACAAAATCCCTGTTGAAAAAGCAGCAAGGCAACGTTCCCTACTCCAAATGCATCTGCTTTGTGGAGTCAGCTCCATGGTGTTCCAGCATGCAAGACAAGGTGCACCCTGTTGTTAATCAAACTCACCTGCAGAGCAAGACAAAGGGAGATGGAAGAACAAAGGGACAAACTGAAAAGGGAAAGCATGGAAGCCACAACACTGGGCCAGAGGAAGCCTCATAGTTTGGGGGCCCTTTTAGGCTATAGGCTTTTTAAAGAACCTGGTCCAATGCGCATGTCACAAGGGCATTATGTGGCCTTTTGAATCTCTAGCCAATCCCGCAACATGGGGCATAATGAAGCTCAGCCGCCATTACACTTTTGTACTTAATTACCCAGCAGGGTAATATTGATGTCCCAGTCTGTGACGTAGCAGAAATCTGACTGCTGAATACACAACAGGGGGCTCCACTTACACGCACACTCAGACATCACACACACTGAGAGCTGTTCTCCCCCCGCTGGCTTACAGTGTTCCCGTCTTGCCCCTGTAACGCCTCTGCCAGCACGATGGTTGGGATGACCTGGTCTCACCAATTTCCCTGCATGTGTGACATTCATATTGAAGGCGAGATGATACAGGGATGTGAATACCTCACCTTGAACTGGCAATATGAAGAGGACATGTGAATGTGGAGAGAGGAGGACTGGGACAATGCCTTTTCATTTGAACATGTTGTTTCTGAGCATTCGGTGATATGACAGATGTTTGTTTTTGGAGGACAGACTCACATAGCTATAATGTGAGAAATATATATTTTTTTTTTCCTTTCCCACAGACCCTGTGTTTAGCATTAAACAAGCTCTTTGTAAATGCTCAAAAGCAAACACTCTCCTTCCAGCAGCCTCTGCCTGCTGGCTGAGTGGTATCACCTGTCCTTCCCCCCTGTGTTATCAGTGCTCCACTTCTTCATGGTGGCCTTCCTCCTCTTCCTCTAGTATTTACCTGACATTTCTTCCCTGACACTGGCAGTCTGACTCTCCTACTCACCAACAGCTTCAAGGCCCTGTCTGTGGTCAAGGAGGAGGAGATGAAGAAGGAGGAGGGGGACGGGGATGGGAGGCTAAGGGATCTCCGCAGCTCCACTGATTTACAACCCTGCTTCCTTGACTGTGGCTCCAAGTGACAGGGCCAATGCCAAAGCTCCAATGGGCAGCACCTTGTGCTTGTTAGATTAGTTTTATGGCCCTTGTCACTCCATGCCCTAAGTGCCTTTCATGACCGAGCTACACTTCACTAAATGTCATCACCACATTCTATTTTCCAGTTCTAAAAATGCAGCACTGTGTGATTGCTTTTTCAATAGCGCTGTTAGGAAGGCAAAGAGCTGAGGGACTGAACCCTGCGCACAGCTGAATGAGAGGAAATGGTTGAGTTGTTAGGCAAAATCTTTTAAAATAAAAGTAGTAGCGTTGTTTGTGTGTGACTGGCTCAAAGGATCAGAACAGGTCTGACATTAAAGGAGCTCTGACCCATAAAACATGACTGTGATCCTGTCAGTATGACCACACAATGCTGGATTCTGTAGCTGCTCTGCACATGATGTTTTCTAAGAGTAATGCTCAGATTGTTGAAAGCTTTGAGTCATTCTTGTCGAATGGCTTTCTGACACACTCACTGCAGCTCCTGAAAATTAACTGAAGAGAGTGAGGTCTAATAATCACCATATTAAAGAAATTACTCTCCTGGAGAGAGTTTATACGAGACTCTCAGAGAGATGGTTTAAATTGTCTGTCCTCTGGCAAGATGGCTCAGTTGTCTGACGTGTGAAAGAAGATTATAAAAACAAACACGAATGACAATTAAGAAAAGATGCATTCCACCACAACAAGTGGGAGAAAATGCAAATACGTGGACATAAAACTCATATATGAATGCTGAATTAATCATTATAAACAATCAACATTAGTATGCTGCATTTTCAGCCTTCAAAAAGCTAATTTGGGTCTTCAGCAGCTGACCTGCAGATAAACTTAATCGGCTGCTCAGTTTCACAGTCTCACAGGGAGTGCAATTACTGTCACAGCAATCATGTATAAACACTAACAAGTCATGTGGCATTGCACTGAAAGTCTTTTAGGCTTTCATTAAATCATAGTATACCCTCAACTGTGCACTGACATGATGCAGAATTAAAGTCCTTCTCGGGACAGAACTATGGGGTACATGCAGAGAAAAAAAACAGTCCGAGCACCTGAAACTCACAAAGTACAAAGTTTTTCAAATTCATTTTACTGTTGTCCGGTTGCTGGACTGCACTACATCTCTCAAAGAAGAAATTATATGATTCCAGAGGTTTGAGTATTCTCAGCGGCCCCTGCAGATGTCCAGACCACTCATCCTAAAATATTTCATTGTAAATTAAATTGGGTTGTACAAAATGATATTTGCAAAAGTATTACAATCCAGTCAAATTGGCTGAATAAATCAAAGATTAACAGTGGAGACCATTCCTCGAAAATGTGGTTGTTATGCCCCGTCTAGGGGAGGCCTAGACAGGAAACAAATAAGAAGTTTTAAATTCATTTCAGATTATGAGACACAATGACTGTTATATCAAAATTATTTGTTTATCCCTTTTTAGCCAGTTCCATAAATTAAAAAAACTACTATTTTTCCCATCAAATCTGGCGATGCCAAATCAAATCGGTTTGAATCAAAACAAATAAAATCGAAGTGAAGTGAACGGAATGGTTCTTTATTTGAACTCATCATGATTACATGTAAACCTTTAACTTAAGATTTGAATTGCACGGTCTTGTAAAGGTAGATTCACACCATGATGCTGGGAAAACAATTTTAACCCTAACTTCCCAAGAGAGACGTTTCAACCAGAACGTTATTTATTTGTAGATACAGATTGAATGTACAGGGATAACTAAGAATACGCTTCAGGGAGAATCTTTGCCTGAACTTAACAAACAAAAAGGAGTCTAACTGTTGAACCAAACTAACCTGATAAATCAAGGAAAACAAAAAACAACCAACTTACCTCCCTAACTAACCAAAAGCACAAGAAAACGAGGTGAAAGTAACCTGGTGGTGATTCACTCCTCACACATCTAACACAACACTAACTAAGATCAAAAAGGACACATGGCGAGGCCGATGGGAAAATGAGGAAGATGGGGTCATCATCGTCCTGCTTGTATTAGTGGGAAAAACCTTTCTGCAGCATATCATCGGCTCGTGTGGACGGCACACCTATTTACTTTACAAGCAGACAGCACATACACAACCAACACACCCAAGAAAAAAAAAACAATACATATTACCACCACATTTGTAACAGAAGTGGTTGGGGGTCAGCCCCAAAATGTTCAACTCCTGGAAACACCCCTGTTAGGAAATAATCTGAAGTGTTGGACTGTGGATTTAACTGAGGTCAAAATGAGAAAGAAAATGAATTGCATGAAGATTCTTTTGAATAAGGAAAAGCTCAAGAACAGGTTAAATGAAAACATTAAAAATAGATACCCAGGCCTCATTCAACTTATCCCCCTCTGGTTTGAACAATGACATGTTCCCTTATGAGAGAAAGAGATTAAAATACTACAGGACCAGTTCTAAACATTTCTTAGAAAGCCTCTCCATCCTTATCCCGCCTCTAACAGAATAAACTGCATTTAGCACAGCCGCAATAATTATGCAACAGGAGGTGGGATAAAGCAGGCTTCCCACTCATGCTATAACGATGACCACATATAGCCGTCAGCATATCCTCCACAACACCTGCATAATGGACTTAAAGAAGAGGGAGCATGGAGAAGGAGAGGACAGCTCCCGCGTGTGTCTGTTTGGGTTGTTGATGATGAAGATGGATCACGCAGAACAATAAGAAAACAAAAGCACAATCACATTTGACCAAATCAGCCTGCAGCTGTTAAACACTGCATTGAATGCCTTCTCTCTGACTCTGTCCCCCTCTCTCTCTCTCTCTCTCTCTCTCTTTATTTTTTTTTTGCTCCCACACGCGCGCGTCTGCACACGAGCGCACGCGTCCCCCACACAGCCGAGCGCGCACTCGCGGACCTACTCGCCGATGCACTGCACAGGAGAGACCCTGACAGTGCCCGAGCCTCTCTCTGCCTGTGATCGCTGCCTGGCGTCTCCTCTGCTCCGCTGGATGTTTGCGCAGAGGACACCTGCCGCCTCCGGTCACTGAACCGATCTCTCCACCGCCCCCCCTCGCGGCACAATCCAGCGCCTTTCCACCTTTCTAACTTTCGCAACGTGTGACGTGTCGATCTTTCTTCTATTGTTTCGTGAACCTATTCCAAGACCATGGTCCTGTCGGATAGGAAGACCCTGTAAATCCAGGCGTTTGACTTCCAATTCCGGGCTTGATGGAACGTTTATTTGTGACAGATCGGGAAAGTTGCGCTGCGCAACGGAGCATGGGCGCAAACTTTGAAAGCTTTTTATAATAAAGAGACAGTTTTTTTAGAATGAAGGCAGGTGAGTCAACCCCAGCGTGAGAGGCGCACAGAGCTCCGGGGGCGCCCTAGGTATTGTCAAGGAAAAAAGCACGAAGGAAGTCGTGATCTGTGCGGCGGATTGCGCCACGGAGGACGGAGGAAACGCTCCGATGAGACATCATGGGTAAGTAATCAGAGGACTGTCACTTACTGAAACCATTACCGCCAGAGTAAGAGCCCCGGAGTCTGCACTATTATTAGTTGAGCGCACTTGTGCTCCTTAGAAAGACAGCATGGGTTGTGTGTGTCCTCCTTGGCGCATCTGTGAGTTTGTGGATAATAAGAACATTTCTCCAAACCTCCACTGTGTGAGAGCTGTGCCTTTTGTGTATTTTCTGCACATATTCTCTGCAGCTTTCTGAATTAAAGACTGACCTCATCACTAAAAGGGGATTCTTCTCTCGGCATGAATAATAAAAAAAACAACTGCAGGCGGGAGTGTGCGTGCTTCTGAATATGAAGGGGGGGCAAAAATACTCTCAGATATGTGAAAATGTAAAATCCCCAAATCTGCATCAGTCGACGTGTGATTCTGAGCACAATGAGTTTAAGCTTAAAAAAAGCCAACGTGATGTTCTTGATACTGAAGCTGAAACGACAAGTTGTTTTAAAATATCACAGCTCTGACTTTTACGTTGACAAAATCTGGTGAATTATATCTGAGATGTGTCCCCCCCCCACCACCACCACCACCACCACCCGACTCAGATTCCTCCGGTACTCCAAATCACAGCTCTGACATGTTTTGACTCCGTCCTATTTCTTCTACCTCCTCTCTTCTCCTGACAGCTCTGGGCACCTACAATCTCATCCCACACTGCCTATCACCTCCTCCATTTTACTGACTGTGGGTGCTCCAAAACCTCACAAACCCACACTTCTCTCTCCAATGTTCCAGCAAGGGGCTTTGCGTTCATTTTTTTTTCTTCCTCGTGTTGTTTGGGGGGGGGGTTGTTCAGGATTGTCACGGAATTTGCGATGAAACGATGTGGACTTTCAAGCAGTCTCACGACGTTTCAAGCCCTTCCTTGAGTGCAACTTTTGCTGTTGAATTATCTCACTGAAGGATCATTATTCATATGCAGGCAGGTTGCAGCCATGCAGGCGTGCTCACACAGAAGCAGGGCATGTTTGATATTAGGTGCAGAGGGAGGCAATTAGGTCGTAGTTAGACCGTTTTGTAACATTTGTTTATTCCTTAATATTCTGAAAAGCTGTCAGGCTGCAGGGATGCATGTGGCTCACATCTGTGCAAAAAATGAGGCATTTCCCAAATAATGAGCAGCTTAGTGTAACTAATGAGCACATACTGCTACAGTTTTAATTGTGTCATCACAATTATGGGCATACATAAGTGCTTGCATTTGTTTGTTTATCGTCTTTTTCTACTTCAGCACTCTCAGCATATGCATTCCTACAATGCCTTGTCTTCGTCATGCTGACACATGTTCAGATGAAATGCGAATAAAATGATAATCCCTTCGAGGCTGAAGTTTTATACTTGAAAATTACAACAAGGCTAAACATCAAAATTATGTTGGTGTGCAAACATCTTCACAGAAGGGCTGAATCCGTTTTTGTCATGCTTGAGGGCTGTGAGGAGTTGCAGCATGATCGACAAATAATTATTCTACTCAAAAATGTATAGAACAGTCAAAAATCCCTTTCCCATTTTTAAACTATTTGCTTTTTTTGTCTATGAAAGAACAAAAAACGTAAGCTGCTTTTGTATCTCAAAATTGACTTGAGGCCAACAACAACAACTTAAAAAAGTGGTTTCAAGTTATTCCCAATGATCATTTTGAATGCCTTACAGGAAGGAGGAAATTTTTTTTTTTTTTTCCTTTTGTGGTCAACAACAACTTTAATCAGTGTTTGAAGCTGCAGAACTTCTGAAAAGCCCGTCTTTCACCAACAACAAAACTGTTCAAAAAAAAGAAGCTCTGCCAAATAATGAGCTGACAAAACAAGCCGGGGAATGTAATGCAGGAGTCCTTGTGAACATTACACAAGCCCCATGGTCTCTGACTGAGCTCGCTCATCTGCTGTAGTAGAACTGCTTAGGCAAGAGCAACAGGACAATTACGCTCAAATAACCTTCAATTTATTCAATAATCCATCAGTTTCTCAGAACAGCCACAGACAGTAATTGGTCCATGGAGCTCGTTCCTGCAAAAACCCAAGCTGAATATGTTCTTTTTCCAAAGAGTAACCTGTGGACACACTTTCCATTCCACTTCTTAAAGCTTATAACTGTGCTGATAATTAGAGGATCCAATGATACTCACCACTGGCAGAAAAAGCTCCAACTTTTCCTTACAGCTGTGAGACCATTATGCAGTCTAAGACAATGGATTTGGAGAAAATCTCTCAACTTTTTAAATTAATTACCGTAGTCAAACTGCCAAGTTTTAATTAGATTTAAAAAGTACATTCAACTAAAAGATGGGGTTCCTCTCTCCTGCATATTTAAGGCACATAAGATTTGGTTGAACACTGGATGGTTTTTAAACTGACTCTCTTCCAGAACCATGCTGCAGTGTGTATGATAATGAAAAATGTTGTCAGGTACTGAAACAAAAGAAAAGCAAAAGACCTTGAACATTCTCAATGGCTGCAGCTGTATAGCTTCCCTTTAAACGCTGATACAATCAATTAGATTTGCTGTCAGGTTGAGGCATGTTTCCTGATTCTGAGCCTGACTGAAAGTCCCCATCAGGCACTTTTTTTCAACAGTTTTAACATATTCATTTCACCACTACCCACACACACGCCACCAAACCGTCACAACACAGAACATCACATCGCACTCCCTCACTCTATACCTTGCAGTCCTTCATTTCATTTGTCACATTTTTTTGGGGGGGGGGTGTGCAGAGTTCTGGGTTATCTTCTATAGTGACACTTCTTCCAAGTTTGTCCTTTCCTTCTGTTTCACGTTTTTTTTTTTTTCTTCCTTGAAATTCTGAAAGGCTCAAACAATGAGTTCTGCACACTGAACTCGTCGTGCAGTGAAATATGGGCAGAGACACAAAACTGAGAACAAAGTCTGGCAGTAAACACTGGGAGCTGAGCTTGCACACTAAAAAAAAAACTGCAACAGGAAGGACATGATATTGTATTATCTACTTTTTATGGCAATGAAGCACACTGCAGCCTACGTTTGGCTGACACAACTGATTATGTTGACGATTTGTATATTTCTGAATATTAACATTTTCTCTAATCTAAATGACAAAAATGTGATCTGCCATCTACATGTGTGAGACTTTGAGTCAGGTCTCATTTGTTTGAACATTGTCATGACTAAATGATAAGCAGTCACAGTTAAAGTTCAGATCTTTCCTTATTGATTCACTTTGACACTTAGAAGCTGCACAGTGGGTTGACAATGGCTGAAAGCAAACCCCACAAACTGGCATCACATCCAGCACACTCACTCACATACTCACTTCTAACCAAAGACAGAGCTTGGATATAAAATACAAAGCCCAAATGTTTTGTGGTTTATATCCTTAACTAGTTTAGCAGCCTATTGCTCATAATAACACAATGAAACAAGATCTTCCAACCCTTTTTATACGAACAGCCATAGTTTGCTTTTTTTTATGAGCCTTTTGAGTGAAGTAAGGAGGCCTTGAAGGGACATGAATATAAATATCCTTTTCGCTCAACACTTAAATACATGAAGGTGAAGTTCTATACAAGGTACACTTAAATCTGAAACAGAGACCAATAAGTACTAAAACGGGCTAGAACATGGTATGCAACTATTATAATGTAGATAGATTTTTGGACTGTTTTTTGGATAGGACAGTGGATAGAGTAGCAAACAGGAGAGAGAGAGAGAGAGAGTGGGGAATGTCATGCGGGAAAGGAGAGACAGGCAGGACTTGAACCTGGGCCGCCAAGCTTGGAGGACTATAGCCTCTTTAATGGGAGGCAACTTAACCGTCAGGCCATCTGCGCCCCTTAATGTGGATAGATTTTGGTTAAGAATTAATCTATAGATATGTAACATGTTTTTATGCAATAGGATACATTTTCAGTAACACTTTTGGTAACAATTTTTTGACTGAATGTTTTCCCTCATGCCAATTCAATTAGCTTCTCACTAAGCAGCAATGCAAAGGCCAATTTGATGTTAAAGACATTTTTTGATAAACATTCTTTGGAAATGTTTTTCCGGGTATAATAAATAGTCTGATCAAATAGAGTTGATTTAAAAAAAATGACATTGAAGCACAATGGGGTCGACTAATTACTAGCATAAAGGGCTGAATTAAAAATGTTGCTTTTCACACTTGTGAATGGATTTGCTAGAAGTCCTTCAATGACTACCAGCATGCAACACATACCAACACAACAGCACGCACGCACGCACGCACTCACGCACTCACGCTCATAATCCATGATGTCTGCTTCTCAGCCTTTACATCAGGCTTGTCTCACGGTGGCCGGCCCTAACCTCTCAGTTTGTGCTGATCTTTTGACATCGACACTCATATCGATCAATGCAGCTCTCTGCCTCCCCTGCACAGATTTCTAAACGAACAAATTGTGTGTGTGTGTGTGTGTGTTTGTGTGTGTGTGTGTGTGTGTGTGTGTGTGTGTGTGTGTGTGTGTGTGTGTGTGTGTGTGTGTGTGTGTGTGTGTGTGTGTGTGTGTTTGTGTGAAGTGCGTCAGGTTCCACAGGAAGGCCAGCATCAGTGGAGTTCAGTATAAGTGAGATACATTTGGTCTGTAAAGAGTTTTACGATACATTATACAACAGTTATTTCATAATGAGTGATTTGATTGGACAAGAGGTATTCCATTGGTGCTGTTAAAGAGTGCAACAGTACTGCTTCTTTATAACTACTTGTATCACTTCTCTTCAGGTGCTTAGTTAATTACTTTTAAGTAATGCACCAATATTAAAGTGTTTTCTTAAAAAAGCATTTGAATTAATCATTTTATTCTTAGGCTTGATAAGAAGTAGCAAATGTAATTTTAATATTTTTGCACAAAAGCAATATCAAACTTAATGTCATGCTGTTGTAAGTAAGTTATTTAACAAATGTAGACAAGTGAGGCTCCTCAGGTTCTCGTGACCTTGTGATTCCACTTATTATTATTATTATT